ATTTGGTGTGGCTGCGGTGGGAGATGTCGTCCATTCTTTCCGGGCTAGGATCAGACCAGTGGTTAAAGGAGAAGCACTGGAGATCATCGCTTCTGCCTAAATAGGCTTTTTATAACTTTGCAATCTTCCCAGACCCGGTTACATTACACTGCGTTACACTAAGTAACTGGGGGTAAGACCCTGGGTGGGGGGAGGCTTCTTGTGAAGCCTGTTTGAGAGTTGCAAAGACGATACAAGTTTAGTTTATGATCGTTGCTTCAGAGCCTCCTTGCTGTGTGTAAAATATTTTAGGACAATGGGTGCTATGCCCATGAGGAATTTAAGGAAGATGAATTGTGCTCATGGTCAAGGTGAAGCAACCTGTTCGTCCTCTGTGTTATACTGGGCAACTCCCCTAAGAGCACCAGGGCACCAGGACCGCACTTACTAGAGTCCCAGTCAAAACTGCAGTGTGAGTCCCGGCGCTGAGGACTTGTATGCGGCTTGGGAGTGAGTGCCTTACAGCAAACGGCGAAATCAACGCGGAACAGATGCGGGAGGCCCTCAAACCAGGCAGTGTCCTTTCATTTCTTTCCTTGTACAAACCTTTTTAGTATACTGTGGATTTCTAATTAGTAAAATTGTAGACCTTAGTTTAGTTTCTGTCTTTTTTCCTGTTTCCTTTCTCCTCTTTCCTTGCTTTGGGGAGCAGTGGGCTCTGTATATAATTCTGTGGTGGAGGTGCCTCTCTACCCTGCTATTTATAACTTTTTTCTCCTGAGAGCCTCTAACCAATGCATCAGATTTAAGAGCCTTTCCATGAAAACTGGTTGCTTTATGGAATTTAAGGACCTAGGCTGAAACCAGGTTTGAACTGATCCCTGGGCTGCACCACAGTGTGGCCCCGGCTCAGGATCCGTGTTGCAGCAGATGCAGGGGCAGCAGCAGCAGCAGCAGCAGCAGAGCTGCTTAAGGTCCTGGGAGCCCTTTGGCATCCTAGCAGGCTGGGCTCAGCACGCCACCTGCTGGCTGCCTTTCCGCCCCGCTTCTCTCTCTCATTCTAAACAGCTGCTCTTTGGAAGTGACCACGGGATGGGCCCACCTCTTGCACAGGGTGTAGTTCCCTCTCCCATCCCCATCCCTGGGACAGGTCGGGGCCATCTCAGCCTCTGTCACAGCTTCACTCTAACACACCGGTAGGCCCCAACAAAAATATCAGCCCAGGACCACTTTAAGGAGGGACCCAGTCCCACATTGCTGCTCCCAAATGCCTAGAAATTCCAAAACCTGCCCACTCTGGTGGGCAGCACACAGCACTGAGGCGGGGCGGGCCCAGCAAGGCCTCGGGGCAGCACAGCTCACAGCACCAGCTCCCCAGCCCCCAGCAGCCCCAGCGCAGGAGCACAGCAGGTGAGCAAGTCCGAGTAAGGGAAGACAGACCCGGGATGCCCCTGTCTGGACACGCTGCTCATGTAGACGACAGTTATGGTCACCAGCAAGGTGCCCCCCCTACACACACACACACAGACAGGGTAGAAAAAGCTCTATGAGTCACATAACTGAGGTCTCTGAGGAGAGCAGAGTGGCCTCTCAAGCAGCTCTGAAATGCTTCAGAGTTTAAAAAGAAAAAAAAAAGGAATGGACCTGGGGTTTTATTGTGGCTATAGGGTGATAAAGAAGAAATAGTCAATAATATTTGTCAAAGAAAGCGCTGCAGAATTTGTTCAGAACTGCTGCAGTAGGTATAGAGACCCCTGTGGCAGGATTCACGGTGGGTGAGAGATGAGACTGGCTCTGTTCTGAGAACAGCACAGGCAAGTGGGAATTTATGGCCAGACAGCAGGGTGGGGCCACTGCATGAAAATTGCTAAGAGAAGAATCAGAGGTTAGGGGTTCCTGATAAACCGACCTAACAGGATTCTTGGTGCACACAGGCCAGGGTGATCAGACGTCACCTGATGGTGGAGGAGGAGGAACCTGGTCAGATACGGAGGGTGGTCAGATAGGAGGGCGGGGGATTCTGGTTCGCCTCCCTCACGGGGTTCCTGCTAAAACTGGATTTTACAACAAGTGTAAAGATAGCCCTGGGAGAAGATTCAGGAGCCTGACACAGTTTGGTCAAGCAAAGCATCCTGGCTGGGGGCAGGGCCAGGGCAAGAGTTCTACACACACGTGGGCTTGTGTGGTTGGAATCTGAAGCCAGTGCCAGGGGAGGGAGCACGGACTTCCTCATCCGCCTGTCCAGGTGCAGACACCGGGGACAGGGAGGGGGCGGCTTAGCAGTCAGCTAACACCAAACAATGTGAGTCTGACTGCTCATTACAAGGACAAACGTGGGTAAGAAAAATAGGCACTTGCAATGACTTGTTTTTAAATTAAAAAAAAAAAACACTAACAGGAGACTCTTGAAATGATAAAAATTGTATTTGGGAGTGGCTGGAGCAACATTTCCGGAGGGACCTGGATATGTGGGCAGTGAGTCTTCTTTAATTAGACTTTTCTATCTTGCAGATTTATTTAAGATAAAAAAAGAAATGTATATACACCATGGTTTACCATCTATTAGACTTTCTTTCATTGTAACTTTTTTTCATAGGTAGCCACTCTAGGATTTAATTCCTTTAAGCACTAATAATACAATAGTGTAAACCATACTTGTGAAAAAATTAAACCTCTTGCTGACTGAAAGGACAAGTTGCATCCTGGTTTATTTTTTGCCTTAATCTCACATGGAAGTATTTTCAGAAATAAGCAGTACATTGTGATGCAATTCAGGTTTGGGTTTCACTACTTAAACATAGTAAAATTGTTAAAGATTTACAGAAGTTTTGATGAGTTTTCTTCTGATCATTTACAAACACTGATGTAAAAATTTAAAATGGACCTGAGAGCTTAAATACTTTCATCTCATATCTTGAGCTTCTCTAGCCTAAAGATACAAAAACTCTATTTAGTTTCACTACTTACTTGCCTTATGAACATGGAACATCTACCTCTTACCTCTCAATCAATTTACATTTTTAAGCCCAAGATACGAAAAGTGTTACTTCCCTCACAGGGAATAAAATTACCAAGTGCTCAGGGAAACTAGAGTTGATAAAGGATCCAAAGGAAAAACACAAGTTTGGAGTCAGCTCAGAAGAGCAGCCTGCTTCCCACAGGGCAGGAGGAGAGCCGCTTTCAGAAGGTTCCACATCTAGACTCTCCAGATTGAGTCAGAGCCCCTGAAGTGGGCCAGTCCCTGGGGACAAGGGGAAGGAGGACACCTGAGCAGCCCCAGGAGTGAACTCTGGGAGCTCCAACACCCTCCTCTCCCTGGGGAATAATGGAAATGCTCCCTCCCTTGGGCTTCAGCTCACAGCAAAGAAACACTCAGCTGGATTCAGCATCAGGTTCTGACCCAAATAAACTCCAAGTGCACAGACCCTAACCAAGGTCACAGACTCCTTTCACAGACTTTCTCAATGTGCACGAATTACACTGAACGCACCCACACTGCGGATGCAAACTCCACCCTATGTCTAGAAACAGGCCCTGGGGAGCCACAACTAAACCCTCAGAAAGAGCATTGCCTTCTCCCCCATGTGCACATACGCCCCAGCTTTCTAGGGCTGCAGCTTCTCAGTGCACGGGCTCCTTCCATGGGGAGTGTGAGCAGGTAGGACACCTGCAGGGGAAGGCTCCCCAGGTAGAACCACTGGGCCTTCCAGCACTTCCCGCTGCAGGCTCAAGGTGTGGAGTTAGGGCTTAGCTTGGATCACTGACCTCAGGATTCTGCTCCAACTTGGAGTTGTTTGATATTCTAAATGACACAAACCCGGTGTGTGAACCATCCAGCAAAATTATTTCAAACCACCATTTATGTGGAAAGAAAGAAAATTGTGAAGCACTTTTAATAGTTCAACTAAATCACACACACACACACAAATAACCATCCCTTTCAGGAAAAAGATGTTAATTTTTATTTCCAGGGAAATTACTAGCCTTCTAAATAATTAATCAGATTTGAACACTTCTGTATGCCCTGGCATTTTACTTGAAAACATCCAAAAACAAAAAACAGACCTCACAAACTTACTACACGTGCTCGGGGAAGGAAGTATGAAGGGAGAATTCTGTACAAATGGAATGTAGTACTGGGATCTTTTTTCTGAAATTTACTTCTTTCCTGGCTCTTGGGAGATATTTTATATAGTCTTTTAAACTCCGATTCAAAATGTTTCACCCCTGTTGCAAACGTAAACTTAAATGAATGAACAAATGGAGGCGATTCCAGGAGGGGCGGGGCTGACGAGACCTAGCACCCAGGGGAATTCCAGACAGGAGCCTCCAGGCCAGGGGCTTCCCCAAGGGACGGCTGCGCCCGCGAGCGGTCCTGGGGAGAGGAACCGGTATTCTTCAGCGTATTCCAGGTGGTTATTCTAGGCTTTCTCTCATATAAAATACCCACAACAAATACAAATCTCTGAAAATGTCTCTGTAGGAAAAGGATAAAATATTAAAATATTGGGTTCGTTTGAAATGTATCCCGGAGGACAAATAGTTCATAACGATGCCGTTGCGACCCGGAGAGGGAAAGTTGGCTTGGGAATGTGAGGAGGATTTGAGTAACTAGAGACTTGGTGGCCGTCAGGAAAAACTAGGCTGGGGCACAGGTTCGTGGATCTGAGACCCTCTCACCCAAACATTTGGAAAACAAAGGAGAAAATAGTCCCCCTTAGGAAGAAAGGAGGGGGACTGTGCACCCCACAGACGACAGCTCCTGCAAGACTCGAACCCCTCAGAGTGCCGACTGTTCCCTGATGACCCTTCCTGTGGTCACTGCACAATTTGGGGAAACTCGGGGCTGCGAGTGCAGCATTGCCCAGCGAGGCTCTGGGGCCGAAGTGGCCACGCTGCATGCGGCAGGGGAGTGAGGTCCGCACACCAGGGCGGTGACTGCAGGGCGGCCCGCTGGCCACCGCCGCCGGTCTGACCAGCCCACTCATCCCAGTCTCCGCACATGGCCCGCGCACACTCACCATGTCTAGGTTTCTGTGTGTCCCCGAGTCCTCCCTCCGCTCCACAATCAGAGCAGATCACACCGTGACAGAGGCTTTGCAGAGCCTCCAGGGACCATTAAAGACAGGCGACACCAGCACCTAAGCAATCCTGGAGCAGAAAGGGACTTGCGCGCCTGGCACAACGCCCCACCCACCTACCCCGGCTGCGCCCCTCATTAGACAGTTCTCAAGGCCACGCCCCACATGCATGACTGACAGCCAGCTGGAAGACTCTTTTTCTGAGAACATGCACCCGCAGGTGGGGGGAAACCGGACTCAGCCAGGAACGTTACACTTGAAAGAGAAGTTTTTCCTTGCCTGGGGCTGCTTGTGTTGCTTCTCCAGCTCTTTGTCACCCGCTGAGGCATCAGTGTGCACAGGGTATTCCCGATTCAGCTTCCGGATGCACGGATTAATTACAGACCGGAGGGTGGTCCAGGCCAGGACTGATGGAAACCGAGGAAAAGAGGGAAGATAGAAAAAGTACAAATGGGGGTCACTTTAACCAAGCTGCTCAATTATTAACGTTATGAAGATTGAGACATGAGGAAATGATCTTTTTTCTTGTCTTAACTTGCCTGGGTACTTAAACTTCTGAGCTTTCCAGTCCTGTGTCAGTACCCGGACATTTATTTACTGGCAGATAACCCTAGGATTACCTTCCAAAGGACTCAGGCCACCAGACCTCCTGGCGCCCATCCTCCAGCCCACCTAGCATCCCTCCCCCAGGCCCCCTGATATCTGACTGATAGCCCCCCTGGACCAAACCTAGGACTGAGAATACAGGACAGACTTTTCTCCACTGTGTGACTTTTAAGAACTCTTGATTATTTTTTTCTCCTTTGGATGCTCCTGGGATTTTGCCTGACTGTATCTCCAGGTTGCAAACTAAAAGATCCTTGAATAAATCTTTATTATTTATTTCTAGCCAAATTCTCCTCATTCATTTATATTTGATTGACAGAACAAGATCATCTTATGTCGCCTAGGGGTCAAGGGCTTGGTGGAAGGCTATGAGTCATTCTTGGAGCTGTCTTTGTTTAGAAACATGGACACAATCTGACTTCACCATCTGTAATGACGTGTCTGGCCTCATTTTAATCCTTGATTCTTGACAGCATGGAGCCCTCTACCCTTCTCTTCCCCATCCCCTCTCATTTGGTCCTCTTAGTAAGACTCCCAGAGCACTTGGCGCTGGTGGGAAGTTGGAACCCAGAAGCCCTAGCCTTGGCTCAGGGACTCTTCTCAGTCTAATCACAGGGTGTGAAGTGTGTTCATTACATCCTCAGGTGCAGTTTACACTGGAAGGAAATTTAATTTAGATCAGTTTTGAGATGCACTTGGAAACCCTTGCCCCACAGCTTTATTGAGATATCATTGACTAATAGACATGTATTTAAAGATTATATGATGGTTTCATATACATATACTGAGTTGTAGAATATAAATGGCTAAGAAGTGGATCTTTAGCATTCTCACCACACACACAGAGTAACGAAGCTGGTAGCTGTGCTAACTGACCTGGAAGCCTTCATATGTCCAAGAGCCTGGACGCCAAAACCCTTGTGTGTTGTGTGTTGGTATTAAAATTCAGATACTTACCTTTCAGGAAATTTTTTCAGTATTACTACCCCTTAGTGCCTTTCTTATGCTAGTTTCCCTACTAAAACATGTCCACCTTAGTATTTGGTGGCTTTGGAATGTACCCCAACAATCCTTTCTTTGCAGAGTACAACTACCATGCTAGTTATTGGACTTATTTTATTTCTGTATATATTTTGATCAACCCCTTTCCATTGTTCAAATGAGGAATATAAAAGCTGTTAATATGGGAGACCAAACACCTGCTACAACAGTTACTGTTTCCCTTTTCTTTTTAGTTTCCCCCGGAAGGGTAACTGCCTAGTCCTCCCATCCCAACCCCTCATGTATGGAGGAAGTTTAACACTGTTGGATTTGTCATTGGAACCCCTTCTTTGTTCAGGAACCTATAAATCCTTTAGCACATTTAATTACTAATTTCTCAGCATTCCTCCCCCAACTCTGAGTACTAATTATAAAATTAAATTTTCATATGAGGTGAGACTTTTCTGGACTCCTTCTAGAACTTCTTGCCTAATCGATCGAACCTGCAGAGATTTAAGAGGTAACATTTGCAATATGGAACATTAAGTCTGCTGAGCATTCCAGGTTTCCACAGTTGTTTCTTTCCAACTTTTACCACTTAAGCCAATATAATTTTACTCCACCTACCTTCTTAAATGCTCACATTTTAAGAAAGAGTTTATTTTATTTTTAGAGAGAGGGGAAGGGAGGGAGAAAGAGAGGGAGAGAAACTTCAATGCGTGGTTGCCTCTCACGCACCCCTTACTGAGGACCTGGCCCGAAACCTAGGCATGTGCCCTGACTGGGAATAGAACTGGTGACCCTTTGGTTTGCAGGCTGGTGCTCAATCCACTGAGCCACACCAGCCAAGGTTTAAATAGTCATATTTTTCAGATCCTTGGTTCAATCAGTCTTGTTATCACAAGTCTATGATCTGTGTCCCATTAGGATTTCTTTTTACTTGCACTTAGTAGAAATATCTATGGGGGCCACATTACTTAAATCCTTATCAACTTGGAAGTTATTACATCGTCAGATCATTGCTTATGCATATTTCATTACACATTTAAGAAGAGACTCAGTGTTGGACATCACTCTTAAATTGCTATCACATATTACAACAAGAATTGCCTGGTAGTTTCTCACAGTGAAGGAATGATTTTTTTTAATTAATTTTTTTAAGATAGAGAGGAAAACATCTATTTTGTTTTTTGTTTCACTTATTTATGCATTCATTGGTTGATTCTTGTATGTGTCCTGATGGGGGGTGGAACCCACAATTCTGGTGTATCAGGATGATGCTCTAACCAACTGATGAGCTACCCAGACAGGGTGAGAATGAGATTTTTGAGAATTCTTGATGCAGACTCTGGCCAGCAGTGTCTGCAGTGTTGCGGATAGGACAAACAAATTCACACAGGCTACTGAAGTCCTGTGGAGAAAAAGGGAAGGCACAGCCACTCTCTGAGAGAGAGAGAGTGCCTCAGTCCTTGCCTGGACAGGCTTTTATTGATTTCTAACAGCATACATCAAAGAAGGTTCTCATTCATTATGTTCATGCTTTAGGTGATTACTTTTTACAGATAACAAAGGAAATGATTACTGATTACTTCTTACAGATTAGCAAGGAAAAATGTTGCAAATGCAAGGGAATGATAAAAGTGATTGGTCTGATTACACTCTGTCCTTGGGAGAATTAGCACAGATTCCAGGAGGTTACTTTAAAGACATGCAGTAAGCATTTGCTGCTTCAACTCAGGGTGAGGGAGTTCTAGCAAGAGCAAGACTCAATGCAGCCTAAGTATAATGCAGGCCTGGTTTCCCACGGGAAAGCCCATCTGTGGGTTTGTCTCCTGTGTGCCAACTCGCGCCTGTCAATTTTCCAATAGGGCTGGGCTACCTTTGCCACGCCAAGCAGATTGGTTCCCTATAATTCTCTTCCGTGGTGAGTTATCAGCACAAATAAATATATGGTCAGAAATTTGTCTAAAACTTTAGGGGAAACCGCTGAATCTATTGCCAAAGCAACAGCTATTCAAGAAAGCAAATTCACTTGCTCAAGGTGTTTTAGGTAACAGGATGTCTCTTGATGATAAACTAGTAGGGCAGGAAAAGGTGGCATCTGTGCCATTGCTAATACCACCCATTGTGTTTGGATAAATTCTTCAGGATTAACTGAATCACAATTGCACAAAATCAGAGAAAGAGAGCAGGCCTACTGGTTACAACCGGGGCCTCTAATTAGATTCCACGTGGGGAAAACTGTGGGATATGACTTTTTCTTTCAAAACCACAGTATTTCTACTTAACTGTATGGGAAACACAATTTAACCCCAAAGACAGACCTGGGAACTCTCTCACTTCACTCCAACTTTATGTGCACGGGATGAGGACAGGGGAAACCCTAGAGGCTGTTTTCTCAGCTAAGATAGGGCTGCAAGACAGGCGTGTTGGGGCCTGAGTCCCTCTCCCCCAGTCCTTCTGCTCTTCTTAAGGAGGGTCCCACAGCTGTGGAAAGCAGACATGAACACATAAAAATCAAGCTTCAACAGAGCTTAACATTTTCCTAAAACATGAAGGTATTTTCATTTGTTTTCTATTATTTTGAATATACACAAATACTATTTTAAGTGTAGTTGTGAGTTTTCACAAGTGCATAGTAACACCACCACCAAAAGGTGGGGAACACTCCATCTCCCCAGCAGGACACTCTTGCGGTGCCTGTTTCTGTGCAGGCCCTCCGATGCATGTCATGTTGACATACGACTGTCCAAACCTGCAGAGAATTTTTATAACAGTTTATTTCAGCCAAACTGACAACAATCATGAGAGGCAATATCTCAAATGCACTGGAGAGTAACAGTTTTACAGTTTTTAAATGCATTTAAAATTAAGGAGGAATTATAAAGAAAATTACAGGGAAGTGAGAGGAAACAAGGTGGGGATTGGACTACAGGACAGTTAACAGTATTATGTGCTGTCTTGAGGGTGGTCACACTTATTTCAAAGGCATGCCAACCTAGATGCACAGAAACAATGGGCAGCGCTTACTTAAGGCAGAGATGGCCTTTTACTGAAGAAGTGATAGGCCTGTGACACAGCTACCCTCCATGACCTGCCCAGTAAGGAATCTATGATCAGATCACCCTGTGAGGTTACCCTCCTTAGAACCCTTTTGCATCCACAGTCAGCACTAAAAAGAAACACATAGCAATGATTGCATTTCCTATGTTTTTTCATAAAGCTCAAAGCACCTGTTTCTCCTCGCCCCTCTTCCATAGCATGTGCTGGAAGTCCGAGCCCCTGGAAATGTACCTGTGAGCAGGAAGTGGGCTGTGAGGATTTGTGCATCTCTGAAACAAAGAGCTTCCAGACACTCTAAAAAGACATTAAAATTTCCCATATCTTGTTTTACAATAAATTAGGACATTATTCAAAAATGATACATTCTGTCTGCAACTCACCTCAATTATTCC